TTTAGAATGTACTGTATGCGTGCTGTGAGGTCATGAGAAAGCCAGAGGAAATTTAAACTTCTGTCACGAAAAGTTCACCATGAAGTCGCTGTATAGTTTTTGTAAACAATAGACTACACATTTTGCTGATTCATTTACTCCAAGGTTTACTGTCAGTCTGAAATATATTAAACCGTATCAACTTTCAATTCGTCTGAAGTGAATATATTTACTGTCTAGCAGATAGTTCAGATTACTTTCTATTCTGTCCTTTCACCTGCTTTTATCATCAAATGATCACTCTTTCATTGATTTTCATAAACAGTAACAGTAATGATATTTTTTATGAACTTATATTGTCATTTGCCTATTGACACTATTTTTGTGTCAAAGTTTTAATACATAAATAAATACAGTTTGTGTTTTGATTTGATTTGCAAACTTGTACAAGTTTTAAATTCATAATCATAAGTTCAATGAAATATTAAGTAAAGCATTTAATGCAAAATGATAAATGGAAAAGATATCCAAAGCAGGTATTAGCTACAAGCATAAAAACTTTAACAAAACTCACAAAAATATAGTATTAATACAAGGAATTAAATAAATATATTTAACACACAGATATTATGGCTGCAGCTTGCAGCGCTCCTACTAACCGCGTGGACATTTGACTCGCCGATTGTTTCTATATTCTTTTGTCCTTCCTCAGGAGAACATAGAAATTTGTTTTGCTGTGTTGGTAAAACACAGGCCAAAAGGCAGAACAAACACATACAAAGATACAATGTACAAAAGTAACATTACCTGCTATTTAGAATCCTAATAACTGTAGGGTAGAAGCTATAATAATAATAATTCTGGATTTATATAGCGCATCACTTGTCACAATTTCAAGGCGCAAAAAAAGTAAAACATAAACAAAGGTACAAATTTACAGTATATTATTTATCCAATTTATTTTTGGGTTTATTAGTTTTAATTTAGTTTAACAATTAATTTGATGTTAAAGCCTATTAATAATATTACAATAGTTGTGTATAATAGTGACCAACTGTCCAGACTATCAACAAATTTCATGTGACAAAAAACTGTGATATGCCCATAATATGTGACATCAAACACATCACATAAAATGTACATGTGGACAGAGCTTAAAGCCTAGTCACACTATCAAATTATTATGTGACAAATTGTGATGTGCCCATATATGGGCATGATGATGTCATACTTCAAATGGGCGCATCACATTATTGTTTGTCACATTTGTAATTTGATAGTGCGTACAGAGCTTTAATTACATTCACACTATCAAAGTTTATGTGACAAATATGGTTTGCTCTTAAAGGATATGATGCTCATTGGATGGATGTGTTGTTTTGTTGTTCTTTTTTTTTTTGGTTTTTATTTTGTATGACATCATTCTGTCCATATTTGGACAGTGTTGCATATCTAAGTCACATGAGGAAACTTCCCCATTTACCAAATTTTCAATTTTTGAACCAGGTTTTGCCGATCTCTTCTTATCTCTATTAGTTACTGCTTCAGGGAATTTTCTATTACAAGATTAACAGTGAAACTAATTAGCTACGTTTATAGAAAGACTGGCCCAAAAAATCAAAAACTATTGTAACTTCTAACATAAATCATTGATTTTTAAAATTAAAAAACTAAGGTAATTAAAATGCCTAACATTTATGAACAACATGTTTCTAAAATTTTCCAGCCTGTTTTTTAAATACTATATTGGTAATTTATTGACAAAAAGTAATGCCTGCTGTGATAATGACTCTTAAGTAGAGGTATTCTTCTTTGATGTTTAATTGGATTATTGAGATAAGACTGGCAAAACCTAGTTTGCCAACCCACCAAAATGCCCTTTAAGGGTGTGTTTCTACTGATAAACACAAAATAATCGATTTTTTAAAACTGCTTTTTTAAAGAGTACCAGACAGCCTGCTTGCGTTGCAACTGCATTTTTTATATTTTCGAAAATCGGTTTTCGTGAAGGAAATTACGTCACCATTTTGTTTATACAACACGTTGTTTTCCTAACTGTATAGGATAGGCCTAGTATCTTTCTCATTCCTGTCATGATGGACGAGGGGTAAGATATGATGTGGGGCGAGAAGGCATATGTTTTTGGCTGCACAATGAACGAGTGACTAAACGAGGACAACGGTAGGCCCAAAAGAGTGGAGAGGCCTAGGCCCAATATCCCCGAGGCCAGGCCCTATACCTTCCCCCCCCCCCACAAAATAATTACAAAACGAATTCGTCGCTCCACATGTTTGTTGACGTTTTTAGCTTCTAGGCCTAGGACATGAACAAGAGGACAATTTTTTTTTAAAGCTAGCGCCTAATACGATCTAGTCTTTGCAGTGATTGACCTGGAGGTCACATTTCACCTGATAATCGCTTTTTTTGTGTTGCAGCTAAAAGGTGCACAGCCAAAATCGGTTATTTGCCCTTCAAACACGCTATCCATTGCGTGTTTTTAATCGATTTTTTTAAATCGCTTTTTCAAACTGGTCCCGTTTCTATTGCGTGAATAAAAGCGATTTTTCGAAAAAGCGATTTTTAATCGATTATTTCTTTCCAGTAGAAACAGGCCCTTAAAGGGTTTGCTGGTAAATGAAATAGTATACAGCATGACATCAAACTTGAAGGTGTGGATAAAAGTTATTTAATAAAATATCTATAAATAAATCCGCTTTTATGTTTCGATCAGTATCTTAAAGTTCTGTCCACATTAACAAATTTTCTTTGACAAAAAAACCGTTGTATGCCCATATATAGTCATGATGTGGCTATATTTGGTCATCATGTGATGTCATCATGACCATATATTGGCATGTCACATGTTTTTGTCATATAAAATTTTATAGTGCTTTATTGTACAATAGTGTATCATTATCTTTAAATTATTAAATTAATACTATTAAATAAATGTAATGTGTCTATAATATCTATTATTATTATTATTGTTATTATTGTTATTATTATTATTATGTAATTTTTGTGTTTTGTATTGTATTTTAATGTTTACGTAAATTTTTGAAATTGTATTGCCTTTGGGGCCTAATGATCACAAGCTTTTGCTTTATTTTAGATCCCCACTTGTACTTATTATTGTTACTATTTTATATTGTATGATTTGGTGGAATAAAGAATTTGAATATGCTGCAGGCAAAATAGTACAATATTGACAAATTTTAGAACAAGGGGACCCAAGATAACGAAAGATTAAAAACAATGGATCCATTTTAATGCCACCATTTTTTTTTATTAATAATGAAGTTGGTAGTTTTAACCATGGAGGAATTGTTTAACTTGAAAATAGGAATTGTGACATGGCCTTAAATGGCACTAATTGTACTACAGTAGTTCGTTTATATAATTCTCATTAATTTTTATTATTTGTTTTTATTGTCCAGTTGATTGGCGTTAAAATTGTGGTTTCCGGTGTTCTATAACGCAATTGTTTTAAATTCTCTGAAATCTTTCATATAATAATGTTGTTGAACTTTGTGGTATTGCAAAAAAAATGTTGATTTGCACTTTAGATTGTTAACAATAGGTCATATTATTATTTTTTAGGCAACTGTCTACACGGTCATCAAATCCCAGGCCGTCACCATGGTTACATTCAAGTCCACACAAGGCTATGACCCCAGTCAGCCAACGGATGTCACGTTTATACCTGAACAAGTCGCTGGATAATCTAGCACCATGATTCGTCATAATAGTGTGCTTCAGAGTTTTGAGTTTTAGACAACAGTATTGAAAAACATATTGTAATAGGGTCATAGCCGGGTCATTCTGGTTATGCAATGAAACTGTCTCAGTATAGATTGTCATGTAACGACCACAAATCCTTATTGATCTTGTTTTTATTTCCTCAGCTATATTTGTTATTATTCACTTCATCTTACTACAGGCCTCCCTCTAATTAAAGGCCATCTCCATTTAAAGACCACTTTTTCTGTGGCTCCATATTAACAAATATCTTGTTATCTTTATTATTCTAATTGGAGACCAAGGCTGCTAAAGACCATGGAAACCCTAGTCCCAAAAGTGGTCTTTAATTGGAGGGAGACCTGTATTCTTAATTCACTTTACTGTTTAGCTATGTTCACACTATCAAATTAAAAGTGACATATATGGGTATTTTATGGCATCATGTCCCTCTATGGAGGAAATTACATCATCACAAAAACCTAATAATATTGATAGAGCTGTCACATACTTTTACAATGTGTTAACTTTCCTCTTATATGCTGCTTACATAATTGTCTGCCTCATTTGATAATGTTACACATTTTTAATGTACCTGTATAGTCACTGTTGTTCATCCGCCTCATCAATATTCACAATTCAAATCGCTTAATTTCTTATCATTATTTCCACCTCTACAGTACTTATTCTTGAAACTTAAACCACAACTTTGGCAATGGTTGTCACCAAAAAACATTTTGTTAAAGCAGGAACAGCAAGTTAACTGTTCCCTTGTGAAAGAAATTAAGAGGGAATTTCCCTGCTTTCAGTCCAGAAAAACCTCTGGCTTGTGATCCAAAATTAAGAGAACAAAATGCTAAAGATTACTTTAAATTTTGTTTTGTGCTAAACACATGTAGCAAGGTTAAGTTTTTTGGTAGTTTAATCTTACCACTGTTCATACATGGATTAAATAACATAAAAACTAATAAAGCCACTATGTCATGAAATTTGTCATGAAATCCAACATATGTGCCATGAATAACAAGAATAAGCAAGTATGTATAACTATATCGAATAATTCATTATGTGTGTTATATTTTTAAAAATAGAACAAGATAGTACTATAGATGAAGCCAAAAAAAAAAAAATTAGTTGTGTAGCATATTATATATTTTAACACAGTCAAGCTCTTTAAATTTATTTTGTATTAAAAACTAATCGCAAGTTTGTTTGGGTCAAGGGGTGGCAAAAGAGGTACGGTTCCACCCTCAGGTCCTGAGTTGCCACTCACATCCTCCCCCTCCCCCCAACTTCATCTCCCCAGGCAAAAATAATCTTGGGTCCGCCAGTGGATGGACCAAAGAATGAACAGCTTTAAGAAAACAGTAACTAAACAAAGACTTAATATGTGTGATCATTTTGGAGCTACTTAAAGTGGAATGGTATGTGAACGTGTTATGTACTAAACCTTCAACAGTAATTTTTCTTAGTAGCAGGTTTTAGTAACATCAGTATTTATGACCTATTACAGTGGAGGCGCCAGGATTTGCCCAACATTGGGTTTCGAGGTCCCCAACCGAGGCAGGGGGAAATGTCCCCGACGAAAAAAGTGGGCTCGGTTGGGCGTCGCTCAAAGTCTATCCAAAGTGTTCCTATAGGGGTTTCAAAGTCTTATTTAATCAATTTTGGAGTTTACTAATATGTAGAAAATACATAAATTTTTTCTCCCCGACAGGGGCCCTTGGCTCCTGCCCCCCTCACCACCTCCACCCGCTAGTGCCACCCCTGACCTATTATCTCAGTTGTATCATTGTTTATGGTTCTGTTCATGTGCAATCATGATGAAAATGTAATGAAATTTTTATGTAAATGAGAAACACCTTGAATATTGTGTACATTTTTTTATGAAGTTAAAATAAAAGTTTTTAATTTATTAAAAAATACTCTACAGAAGACATGGGATGTGAATGTCACTCCAAAAATTGACAAGGACATTTTATTCAACTTTTATTCAGAATACATGACCTAAGGTAATACTTCTTTCGTACATGATTCGTATAAATATTTAGATTTAAATTGTATATTTTCTTGTTTTATAACAATGTGCATATAGAGTAAAATATTATTGCAGTGGTTAGATTTTTTTTATAGTTTAAATGATTTAAATTGGAACGTGGATATTAGATTACATCGGTTTACTGTACATTTTCTGAAATTTTAAGCCATCGACAGACGTTTGTAAGAATAAAGATAACAATACTCAGCACATTTGTATACCCGCTCTTGTTTTACAACAGTGAACGTGGACCCTACGAAAATGTCAAACATTCGAGCTACTTAGAATACTAAACATCAAGCTAAAAGACAGAATAACAGATGAACACATTTACATGAAGAATGAAGAAAATGAAATAACCAAAACAATATAAAGGAGAAGACTCAACTGGCTGGGCCATCTACTTTGGCTACCCGAAAATATTCCAGCAAAAATCGCACTAAAGAACACCTAAGAAAAGCAAAATGAAGCAGAGGACGACCAAAACACGCATGGTTGAGACAATAATACTGATCTAAAACCCATAAAATAAGACTATATAAACACACTCGCGCATGATGTCGCACTAAAGAACACCTAAGAAAAAATGAAGCAGAGGACGACCAAAACACACATGGTTATCTTAAAGACAATAATACTGATCTAAAACCCATAAAATAAGACTATAAACATTCACGCATTATGATTATGAACGGACAAACTGGCGACGCATCGTTGTTGTAAAGCTCTTGGCTTGAATAAGCCGAATCAGCCGGCTAATTATTTCTTATTATTATTCTCTTTTTCTTTGAAAAAAAAAAAACTAATTTGATGTTCATATCAACCAATTTTTGCTGGGTTTAGCAATACCAGGATTTAATTTCTGGAAAATTGTGATTCCACTTCCGCGAAATTGGTCACAAATAAATTATTTTAGTATTAATAAATGCATGATTTATGTTGATTTATTGATTAAATTGTTGGTATTTTTTAACATTTAATGGAAAAAAGGTGTTATTTATGGCTTAATTTTTTTTTATCTTTGAATATGTAATTCCTGCAAAAAGTAAAATATAAATGATGATTTATTTGATGTTAGATTCTTTTTAAAAACTAAATTATTTCAGTTTTTAAAAAACGCATATAATGATTTTAAAAAAAATCAGTTTTAATACAGAATTTTATTATTGGGGGCCATTTTTACCTCCTGTCATTTGGGGCCATTTTTAGGGGAGCCGTTTTTACCGGGGCCATTTTTGCTGTACACCGATGATAGTGTGATTGGAAAATAATAGTATGCCTAATGATGACGATGACGATGACCACGACGATCACAAAGACAACGGTGAGATGATCGTTCTCATAGACTTCGGTGAGATGATTGTTCTCCATGGGAACCAGTCAACTCGTCCCCTAGCAAACTCGCCTCTTGCAATCTGTTCCGACCTGACTACTAAAAATGTGTCAATAATTGACACATTTTGACAGTCATTTTCGCCAAAGATATCCCAGTTGGAACGAGTAATTGTTACGGTCCGTGTGCGCATTCACCGTCCCTCTATCACTCCCAACAATGACGGTGCCTGTAAGGCCAAAAAAAAAAAAAAAAGAAAGAAAACCTGTGTTGGCCACGTCCGACTGACCCAAATTTTACGAAATTAAGTGTCGGCATTTTATTTTATTTTATATATATATATATTTTTTTTTTTATAAGAAAATAAGGCTGGAATAGCCTTGGCGAGGCTGGAGCCAAGGCTAGCCTATTTTGCTGAATTGTACGCGATGCGAATCCAAAATTGTTGTATTATTTGTGTATTTTTTAAGTTTTAGGCGTAAACACATATTTGGTTGTTTAAAAAAAATGCCGATCCTTAATTTCATAAAAGTTTACCTACCAACCTACCCATTTTTTTTTTTTTTTTTTTTTTTTTCATTTTCCCAAAACGTGGCTAACACATTTTTTTCGGCCCAATGTCGGCATGGAGCGGATGGTTTGTGTCCTCCAATATAGGTGGGTGAGCTTGAAACACCTTTGCAAGCCGTTCGTGATAGAATGAGTCTAGCGTCTGCATACACGAACCAATTACTTTCCCCGCCCTACCCAGCACCCTTCTCAATTCTGCCCTTATCCCCCTTACTGACATTTCCCGCCTAGCTCAATACACAATACCCCAAATAAATAACATCGCTGATGAGTAAAACGTTCTACAAATATCCTGCTTTACTCCAAATGAACAGTTTCATCAAACTTTTTTACTATTTGATGGTCCCCATTTAAGCTTATTGTCGAATACCACCCCAAGATACGGAGGTCTATTATAAGTGCTGACAATATCAACCTTCTTTCCTTTAATACATACATTATCAGAGTCATACCTATTACTTTTCCCCTGAAATCGATCCGTATTTATTTCGTTTTATGTTTAATTCAAGAAAATTATTTTCACAATATTTGGTAAATTGAATAATCTCAGACTGGTATAAGACTCATTGTTATTATTAGCCCAACCATAGCTGAGTCGTCCGCACATTTTATTGGACAACATATTGCTATTGTACTATTATTCCCTGGCCACTATGACTCAAGCTGAAGTTTGATTTATTGTCAATTACAAGGACATGAAATGTCCTCCAATGCTCAAAAACACCAATTAATAATTAGTTATTACACACCAAAGGTTTAGTATTTAAAAAAAAGGAAAAAAAGACTACAAAAAGCAAAATAGTTAATGTTAAAAAATAAAAATATTATAGTTTTAATTACGAAATTGCCATATAATGGGTATTGGATCTGTATAAATGGAATTGAGTTTACAACTACAATGAAAACATATTAGATATATGGGTGTTCTTGCGTGGGCTTTTGTCATGTTCTCAGTAGACTCTGCTGTTTCCCGGCGTTGACATAATTACAAAATCAAAATGTAATAGAAAATGACCAAAATTAACCAACTGGTTACGGTGTTTTATTTTAAATTTGATATATTTTCCCACACACGCGCGTGTTTGTATCTATCAGCCTTGTGATTATACAAAA